GTGATATCAAATTTTTTTTTTTTTTTTTTTTTTTACAGCATTGTATCCAAGTTAGAAATTACAGTATTGAGACAACACTAAGTGTCAGAATAAAAACGTGATGACTGGGACAAACTTTAAGAAGGAAATATAATAAAATGACTGTGTTCTCTTGCAGGACTGCTGTCATTACCTCTGTGTATACAACAAGAGTATATTCTGATCAAGCAGTCTATGACGTGGGAAAATGCACAGAATTACTGCAGGACGCACCATATTGACCTGGCCACCGTTCAGAGTGATGAAGACTGGACGCGTCTGCAAGAAGCTGCAGATACGTTTTCTGGCTTTGCTTGGATCGGACTGTACAAGGACATCAACAGCTGGCGCTGGTCTTATAACGAGGAGAGTATGGTGTTCAAGTCCTGGGCTTCGGGTCAGCCAGATAACTACTATGGAGGAGAGGAGTGTGCTGCAATATATTATAATGGAGGCTGGCAAGATTTCGCCTGCACCAGCTCTTATTATTTCATGTGTTATGATGGTGAGAAACATGTATATTCACTCTTTATAGATACTCATTAATTCAGTGTATGAATGAAGACACTAATATAATGACATTTAGGGATGGGCGATTTTTTTTCCGGCTTAATCGATTCATTTGAATTTAATGTTTTGCCACGATTTTATTTTTTTTTAAATCGAGGAATCGCGATTTTGAATAGAATTTACCAAATGTTAGAATTAGACACTTTGACAATATGCCGGTGATAAGAGAAAAGAGTGATCCAACCTTTGAGTTGAATTACTGAAATAAATTAACTTTTCCACGGCATTCTAATTTATTGAGATGCACCTGTAGGCGCACGTGATTAACCGCTCACGTGTGACACGCTCATATCGCTAGGTGCCATTCACACAGAGTGCGCTTTTGTGTTGACAAAGATGCGACACGGGCAGTGGAATAGGAAAAAATGGAAGAAGATGGAAGTGAACTTCTTTTAACTTGAGCGTGTTTTTAGACTGGTGTTTCATGCATGAGACGCTGCAAGAGACGCAAGTGCAACAGTCAAACGCGTCCATGTTTACATAGAAAAAAACAATGGAAAAGCAGTGCAAGCGAATAAAAAACCTGTAAAGTACTGCTGTATGTCTGATATGATGACAGACTGAGGTGGTCTAAGTTCGGTACGTTTGTGGGTCCATTTGTGGTTCGATTTCCTCGTTATTTGTGAAAGCAATGAGGTCCCTTTGTTCTATGGACTATGGATATATATATATGATTTTTGTAAAATGGCACAGCTTTTTAAATATCTGAAAGTACACTCTTAACATCAGTAAGTCATGCGTTATAATATGATATTATGATAATCAAGTATTATTTAATTATAGAACTTTAGTAGTTTAGAATTTAAACTTGATAATCATGTATGAATGCATATTAGTCATGTTAACTGAACTTAGGACTGGTGGTGGTGCTTAAAATATACATTTTGCTAAAAAAAATTGTTTTTGGACATTAAATGTGTCTTTTGTAGAATTTTAAACCTACACATAAATTGTATTTTTATGATAGTAACTGTAAGTGGACTATTGTAATAGGTAAATCAAATGTAAGCTAGTAGGCTACTAATTACTAAGCTCAAATGAGTTAAAGCAGTTAAAATGTAGTCATTTTCTTTATTATTTATTTTCATTTTTAATTCTGTGATTTTAACTTTTAATTTAGTTATTTTAATGCTTTAAAGAGCAATTTTAGATAACTTATTAAAATGACAAAGAATTAACAGAGCAGCCATCAAGTGTTAGACAGTGTTCTAGGTTATTACATGCGGAGGTTTTAGTTCCGATAATTAACACCTGTTTTTTTTCAGAATTTATTAGTAAGAAATTTCTCGTCATCCAGTTTTTTTATATCGACTATGCATTCTGTTAGTTTTTCAAATTGGTATGTTTCGCCGGGCCGCGAAGAAATATAGAGCTGAGTATCATCAGCATAACAGTGAAAGCTAACACCGTGTTTCCTGATGATATCTCCCAAGGGTAACATGTAAAGCGTGAAAAGAATCATATTCATGTATCATCTCCATCTTCCACGTGTAGTTCTTCTGTGTGATTGTAGGCGTTTTTTTCTTCTTCTTTACCCTTTGAGGACCGACTGAAACACTTCCAGGCGTATGCCCTGGCTGCCCTCGTCAGTTCCGGGCTGCGTTCCAGTTCACTTTTAGACACGCACTCGCAAACTTCCCTAAGCATTTCCCCTCGGGAGAATCCCTGCCGCCATTTTGAAGCGCATTCCACTTTGTCAAGTGGACGAGGGAAGATTACATGGACATACCCTCGACCCCTCGATTTTGACCGAGGGAGCGAGTCTGCTTCATATGCACACTTCAGGCCGCTCTGTAGACCACAATGCAACACGACTGTGACGTCATCACAGATCGCATTTAATTTATCCCCACCCCAAACAACTCTATAATATATAAATTATTAGTTTTTTACATTTATAACAGCCCAAGCATATCTATATACATATAGAATGCTGCACCAAACAAATTCGTAAGGGGAATCGTAAACAATAAACCAACTCCATAGCTGATTCTAAGTGATCAAGGGCTTAGGACGTTCCAGTTCAGCCCATTCCAAGGGTTCCGCCAGAAGTGGGCACTCATGCAACGTAATCAATGACGTACATCCGAGTAAACGAGACGGAGGGAAGTTAGCGAGTGAAGGGCATAAAAAAAGTGAACTGGAACGCAGCTCCAGAAGAATTGCAGCCTCACTCACTAGTCGCTACCTTCGGTACCATTGGTACTTACGCTACTGAAGAAAAACAAGTACCGGCAGGATTTTAAAATGTTTATACCAACTTCGTTCTCGTGACATCCCTATAACAGGCTCACACTCGTTAGAGAAAATGAATTTGGCTTTAACGTCTTGACTATTTTTGATTTTTCACAGGAAGTGCAAACGCAACAGAGAAAATGGTTTTGAGCAAGACTACAAAGACATGGATTGATGCTCAGGAGTACTGCAGACATCATTATACAAACCTGGCTACCATTAGGAGTAAAGAAGACAATGATGAGATAATCAAGTTGATATATAGTTTGGGGGTTTTTGTCTGGATTGGATTGTACAGAGACAATTGGAAGTGGTCAGATCAGGCGAACATCACTTCCTCAACCCAACTCACTACTCAGACATTTAGAGTGCAGAGGTATGACTGCATTGGTGCAAATATTTATCCTCGTACACTTGAAGACTGGACATGCACCTCAGCTTATTACTTCTGCTGTAACACTGGTAAGTCTGTCCTGAACTATTTTGTACAATCATTTGTTTGTTATTTGTTGACAAACACTGAATAGGAAAATGTGACTTTCATTTAAATTATCTACTTCAGACTTTTACAAAGTATGGTTTTGGTGAAAAGCCAAACCTATCAATTTTAACATTTTGTTATTTATTTAGAAATGTTACACACTAGACAAAATAATTCTAATGTCACAAATAATAGTCTCAAGGTTTACTGGGTTTTATATGATTCTTTTGTAGTGTGGGTTTGGTGAGGAGTACTAAAATTGAACATTTTTCACAGTCTTCGAAATTGACCCAAACCTAATCAGTTTTTACATAAAGTAATTAATTCAAGTGTTAGTTCACCCAAAAATGAAAATTAGCCCATGTTTTACTCACCCTCAAAGCATCCTAGGTGTATATGACTTTCTTCTTTCAGACGAATCCAATCGGAGTTATATTTTAAATTATCCTTGCTCTTCAAGCTTTAGAATGGGAATAGGTGGGTGTTTTTGTTCAACAGTCCAAAAGTAGTCAAATAATGCGTGCGCATCTGTAATAAAACATGTTTTACATGGCTCCGGGGGGTGAATAAAGGCCTCCTGTAGCGAATCGATGTGTTTTTGTAAGAAAAATACCCATATTTAAAATGTTATAAATTATTTTTTTCTAACTTCCACTGACTGTCATACGTGCAAGCCATTTCGGCGGATGACATTGGACGTATGCGTCACGCATGTGCCGGTGATTAGTGACGAATGCGGAAGCGCGACGGAGAGAGAACAAAACAAAAAGGTGGTCACGAATTAGAAGCACAAAACGAGGATTTGTAAAGATAAATGTAGGAGGTTTTCGATATAAGCCAAGAGGAGACTGGTTTTCCTTTGGTAAAGTAAAGAAACTTTGCTTCCTTTGCCCCTGTAAGCTGGCGAGACTAGCATATCTCACTGGCACGTGCGCGTGTACATCCTACGTCATCCACCGGAATGGCTTGCAGGTATGACAGTCAGCGGAAGTGAGAGAAAAGTGTTTATAACGTTTTAAATATGGATATTTTTCTTACAAAAGCACATCGATTCGCTACAGGAGGCGTTTATTCATTATGGATGCACGCGCTTTATTTGACTACTTTTGGACTGTTAAACAAAAACACCCACCTACTCCCATTCTAATGCTTGGAAGAGCAAGGAAAAATTTTACTATAACTCTGATTGGATTCGTCTGAAAGAAGAAAGTCATATACACCTCAAATACATTTTTTTTTTCAAGTCATATACATGCTTTGAGGGTGAGTAAAACATGGGCTAATTTTCATTTTTGGGTGAAATAACCCTTTAATTAATCAACTAATTTATCAAATGAGATGGCAAGTTTTGAGTATTGTACCGGCAAAATATTTACAATCTCAAACCAGAGCCTTCGCTCTCTGTATTGATGGCCAAATGTGCCAAGCTGCTGTTTCGAGCATCACCAGCTGCTTCTCAGATACAGGTATGTCTAGGAGACAGGACAAACATCTCTCACATATTGAGAGGAGTAGGGTTGCTGTACGGCGGTTCACTCTGAAGTTAAAGCTGCAGTCCGTAACTTTTTTTGTGTTCAAAATGTACAACATTTTTATAATAAGCGAGTACACCATGAATCCATTTTCCAAACCGTGTTTTTGGCTTGTCCTGAATCACTACGGTACACCTATAATAAGTGTTTATATTCAGACTATTTTAGACTGGTTCGGGTAGGTACCGCTGCGGAGTAGCCCATTACCTGCATGATTCATCATAGACATAAACGGAAAGAAGTAGCTCCGGCTACAATGTACTTCCGCAAGATGCACGCAGTTCTGTTTATTAACCGCTATAGCGCCAAAAGTTACGGACTGCAGCTTTAAGTTAGATGAATATACACTATATATGCGCATATCAAGTGTTTATGAGAAGTGTGGGAGTATTAACCCGCTTACTGCATGACACGGAGGTGCCTGCGCAATCCCTTTCATTTTTTTCCTGCGGAAAGAACTTAAAATACTCTGTCATTTTTGGTCATACAGATAAGAGCAGCCTAATAGGCTACAACATTTGTAAAAAAAAAAAATATTACTGCTTTCATTTATGTACACTCACAATAACACCAAAATGTTGTGCTTTTGTAAAATAGAGAAAATAAAGAGGATGTGCATTCTGCCATCTAATCTCTGTGATCTCTACGACAATAAACCAGTTACATGCCTCACAGACAAAAGAAAGAAATCTATAGAAAGATTGAAATGTCTACTTTTAAATGAACAAATAAAAAAAAAAAAAAGATAGATAGATAGATAGATAGATAGATAGATATTAGGGCTGTCAGTTTGACACGTTAACTTAATTAATTAGTTATGAAAAAATAATGAGATTAAAATATTTTAACACAGTTAACGCATTGGCCCCGCCCCCAGACCTGTACGTCATCTTACATTTCAGTTACAGTTGACTGTTGACAAACATGATGCAGGGCAACAACTCCGTAAATGCAGTTATGCCCTAAAATTAAATATATTGGGGCAAAAAATGCCCCTGCATGAGTTTTTGTCTCATATTTATATCAGCGAGAGCAATATCACATGAGTGATTTTGTCCTGAATATCACGAGTTTAAATGTGATTTTATTCAACAGTTCAGTAAATAAGTTGATATTGTGTTATATTTTAAACGGAATATTATGTGTTTTTGTTCAATTTTGCAGAGAATATATTACCTTTAAAGCCACAGCAGAACTGTTGCGTCTCCGAGCAACACAGTGGTGTTTAGTTTCTGAATGAATCCGCGTTTTGAACGAATCGTGTGAATCAATGATTCAAAGGCCCATTCATAAAGGAAGTCGTTTACTGAATTCCTGCAAAGAATGGAGCTGAATGGATGAACTGTTGATCATAATTAGAATGGACATAATTTGGCTTTGTAAAGAAAATTTCAAGTTAATTGCATTAATAATTATTATGATATAAACGTAATCTTTAAAACATTATGGACATGACAGCGCTGAAGCATCCCGATTACATAAATCTAGCCCTTATAAATCCAAAAATCCTCGCTGTTTAGACAAAGTGAGTTTATTAATTTTTTAGACAGGCCTCCATCTTTCTACAAAATGCTTACTGTTGACGTAAATTAAAAAAAAATTGGCAGCCTTTGATCTCTCATTTGACAACATGAAATATAGTCGGATGAAAATGTAATTTTACTCTGGGTGCACCCCTCATATGTGGTGGATAAACAGCGATTTCCTTCGAATTTCTATTAAAGCAAGTTAATGCAGTAAAATACAGACTTAAACACACAACTTAATTAGGGTTTTGTTCTTGTGGTAAAAACTTTATTTTTTCATGGTAAGGTTGACATTTGCATGGAATTGTCCATATAGTAAAACATACAATGTGTTTTTCCCACAGTCAAGAGGAAGAGGCAGGTGATCCGAGTGCAGGTGAAATCTGCTGAGAATGTGGATGAAGCTAAACTGATGGTGCTCGTCTTAAACAAGGTTAACTTTATAATACTCATCTGACTAGAATTAATTGTGGAACATATAGTATAGAAAACAGCAAATATCAGGTCAGTTTAACCCTTCTGTTCAGCGTCTTTTTGACCCCAAATGACATTTGATGAAATAAAAGAAAAATGTTCCCTTTATCAAAATGGCATGAGATTTTGTACCATTGTCAACACTTGCTAGCTCTACAACTAAAAAATGAAATTGGATTGATATCTGGTATGTTAGTGTGAAAAAAAAAGTCACACTCAGGATGTTGAAATGAAATGGGGAAGTGATAAGATCGATACATTTTCTTTTGAATTTGTCAAATAAAATCACTAAATCAGCCACAATGCAGAACACAAAATACACACAAATAAAGTGTCAACCCTATTCTCACATCCACAATGCATACAACCCAAACCCACTCATGAGAAATGAAAAAGTGATATGACATGAGTGGTTCCCTCTTACATAATTTGTCAAAAAGAAATCCGCTACAATGAAGAACACACACTGAAGTGATGGAGGGACACCACAACACATCCACGATGGAGAACAAATGCAAACACACACACTAATACACACATCTAACACCATATTCAGGTTTGACTTTAATTTTTGCATATAATTGCAAAATAATGACACTTCAGTACAAAAAAAAATCCTTGACAAAGAGTCTTTTTTATTATTATTATAATGATTTTATAATGTCCTAACATAAATCTTACAAAAAAAAAAAAACAACTTGTGAAAAGATCTATACCTACATGGAAATGACAAATGAGCCATTGAGTAATGCTCTAGAGCCCTAGAGCCATCTGGTGGCAGTAGTTGAATTTTTTTTTTTTTTAGAAGTGTTTATTTTCAAGTAGATGGAAACCCATAGACATCAATGGGAGACTGTAACCCACTCATAAGAAATGAAAAATTGACGCGACATGAATTGCTCTCTCTTACATAATTTGTCAACTACAATGCAGAACACACACAGAAATGATGGAGTGCCACCACAGCACGTCCACAATGGAGAACAAATGCAAACACACACACTAATACACACATCTAACACCATATTCAGGTTTGACTTTAATTTTTGCATATAATTGCAAAATAATGACACTTCAGTACAAAAAAAAATCCTTGACAAAGAGTCTTTTTTATTATTATTATAATGATTTTATAATGTCCTAACATAAATCTTACAAAAAAAAAAAAAACAACTTGTGAAAAGATCTATACCTACATGGAAATGACAAATGAGCCATTGAGTAATGCTCTAGAGCCCTAGAGCCATCTGGTGGCAGTAGTTGAATTTTTTTTTTTTTTAGAAGTGTTTATTTTCAAGTAGATGGAAACAATTCCCCATTAAACCACGGCACATTGGTCATGCTATCTCCATGAATGAAAATTAGAAACGTGGGTCTTTTATAAAGTGAATTTTACATAAAAAGTTTTTTTTTTCTATAATTTTTTAAATAATATATGTTTTAATTTATTTATATATGGATCATTGACGTATAAGGATTTTCGACAGGCAAATTTTAAAATACAAAAATTAGTAATATCTTTTGTAGTTGTTCAAACATTAACAATGTTGTGTACACATAAATGCATATTCAAATTTGAAAGTAAGTGATTTTAGTGTTTTTTCATCTAGATGAATCGGACATAGCCTTAAAAAATGTCATGTGGTGCGACGATGATTTATATTAAAATTAATTAATTTCCTTAACATGCTTAACATTTTTATTGAGATGTTCTCAGTAATTAAAGTGTTTAGAAACAAAGTATTTGCATTTCTATTGAGTTTAAACAATGATCTCATATTTTTGTTCTATAATTTTAAAGTTGCCTTTCTTAAATGTAGTTAGCAGCCTTATTTTTCTGTAAATTGCATAAAACTGATAAAAATGTTTTCCATTCACTTAAGCATACTGTAGCAGTGATTCATATTTCAGCCACATAAATTAGATCATTTAGTTTTAATTTAATACAGTTATTGCTATTATTGGTCACACTGCATGATGAGTGGTCGCTCCAAATGACACAAAGACCTGTAAGAAATTATAGTCTGCCTCGACCAAACTTCCACTCCAAGTAAACTATTCTCCTTTCTCTACAAAGAGCTTAATTATCATAGAGATAATTCTTTCCGATCTCAATAATATGTAAATAGTATCTCCTGAACGTTACTTTGTCAATCGTCACCTATAGCGTGGGAGCGGCAGTAGGCCATCAAGAACCATCTGCTGACCAAAAGGGTACTTGAATATAATTGCACCTTAACATTTGGTTGTTTCCACCTGAAAGACTACCAAAGATGTGGGAACAGAAGGCTATCACTTTCATTGTTATCCGCAATTTACATTTAAGACGAAACTTCAGTCCTCATCATTTTTCTTACAGACCTTATATCATTAAAAATCTATTTAAAGAAACGTGTGAAAAGTGCAGCACATGGCATTAACTGCAGTCATTTTATTAGACCCAGTTATTTCTAAACTTTGCCCAATCTTGGCTGCTCAAATGACCCTTCGCCGGGAGTTTGATTAACAGGCGATCTGACCAATCATAATTCCAAATCCACCATTTCTGTCTGATAAACAAACCAGACAGGAGAGTAGTTTAACGTTGGTGGACTTGAACTTGAAAAATAGTGTGTATTGACATCTCTTCACAGTTGAAACTAAATAACTTCTGATGTTCATTCGTGTTTATTTTGTGTTATAACTAGTAAGAGATGATTGGTTCACATGCCGTTTGAACTGAGGTGCTACAGCGATCTGTCATGACACATTAAAGAGGCACAAAACAGTATTTGTTGTTTGAATTTCTTAAAAAAAAAAGACAAAATTTGAACTCTAAGACTTTGTTTAATAACTTGCTCTGTCTTGTATATCTGCACATTGTCAGTGTCTTCTTTGCTCCGTGATGTATTTTCACTGCATGAGAACATGATGTGTTGCATGAAAGTGCCATGGTTTGTCAGACGTAGCAACAGTAACTAAGGAGGGCAGGACTTTGCGAAGGGTTCCTTTAGAGTAGCGGAAGGTTGCTGGCTCAGGTTCTGAGATGAAATCATAAACATCTTTCTTACAGTAGAAAATTACATCTAGAGTTTGTGCTTGACTGCAGGGTCAGAATTAACATGCTTCCTATGGCGAGCATTTATTTTACTTTCCTTGGCAGTGGAGTCTGGTAAAATAGATTAAAATAGTTATTAATAAATATATAATAAATTACTAATAAATGCATAATTACCAAACTAAAATTACATGCTCTAAATTATTTATTTTTTTGCATTTTTCTCATATTGTAAAAAGATTAAACATAAACTGTCTGAAATGACCCAAATTGCATAAAAATGTATTCCAAATGATACTAAAATAAAGTATTTTATGTATATAAACCATTAATTTAATATAAAAGCAGAAAAAAACTGCCAATCTGGGACATATTTGGTCGCACCACATGATATTTTAAAATTTAGTCAAAATTTACAAGCACAAAACTGGCCACCTAAACAAAACAAGCTAGCTTCCCATGAAAGGTCACTACGGAATTTATAATAAAAATAAATACTTGTAAAAATAACTTAATATTCATTGTTTTTCTGAGGTCATACCACATGATATCCAAATTTGGATACTAACTACATACCAGACATTAAAAAGTTTTTTTTTTTTTTTTTTCAAAATTTGAAAGAGATTATTGCCAATTATGGCCAGACGGTCGCACCACATGATGTTTTGACACTTTGAATAACAGAAAAATTACCATTAACTAAAGTTTTTTTGATAAGTTAAAGTTGGTACATATGTGGGAGAGGTACTTCTTATATGCAGCATCTTTTTTATGCATTTAAACCAATTTTTAACTGAACAAATGCAATCGGACAGAAAATGTAGGTGTCATGTCATTGACCGATTTATTTAAAAAATACCATAAATCCTCCCAAAACAGCACAAATGTAAAAACAATAATGAACTGAGTAAAATTACATTTGTAAACGTTTTGTTACAATTACATTTTATCCTTTATCCTACAACCGGAGTGTACAACACAAACGAATGGCTTACAACGGTTAAACATCAGTCTACAAAATTTGATTTAAGAAAACAATCAGATTTCCCCTTTAGTGTGAACAAAAACCCACATCAGTCAGTCTTCTTGTACAGACAAAACACAATGCTTTGTGTTTGGAGTTTTGCCCATTTCTGCTCTTTTTGAAAGATTTATAAAGTAAGAGATGTTAATTCTGAGCTGAAATGCCTCAAACTTGTTTGCGTGGAATTCATTCACTGAGTAATCGAAGGCTGTTTCTGTGTTTAGTTAAAGCAGACACTGAGCAATCAGGACGTCACAATGGAATGGAGGACGCAACCCAACGGGAAGGTCTTTCAGAAGAAGTGGACTGTACCGAAACGTAGTGAAGCAAACACTACTCATGTTTGTCCTTCTTTTGGGTGAAATGTATTTAAAATTAATGCAATTTATTCTTAGTTACAGATATCTGAATTATTACATTAGACTAACAATTTATAACAATTTCTCAAAAATAGTTACATATATTCATTTTGCATTTATTCATTTAGTTGACATATGTATGCCTAAATATGAGCTAACAAATGGTAGGATGTAGGGATGCACAATATTAGATTGTTGCTGATATCGCAAATGCCAATATTTTTCAAATCATTTTGGCCAATAGCCGATGCTGATACTGATGTATTTCCCTTTGTTTTGAAACAACACCAAGTCTCTCCTGTGTGGAAATTATTTTTAAGTTATTTTTGAGCAAAACCTTGACAAACATTAAAACTCATAAACTCATAAACATTATTAAAGTTATGTTTTAATTAGAGTACATTGTATATAAGTTTTCATAATTCATTTGAAAAAATATTACATATTAATTAATAAATCTGTATAAAATATTTAATTTATAACTGTTTGTGATTTGTATTCTTGTAAACTATAGCTTCTGGCCTTTAAATCAAAACAGACTGATTTTAAGACTTCGATACTGCTTTATTTATTTAGAAACACAAGTCTCTTAATGATATTTGTGTATTTTACCTATATTTTATTACAAGTAGGCCAACAGCACCCCCTGAATAAATAAAACACGTTGAAGATGGGCATTAGGAGCACTAGTGATTGTTTACTCTGTTGCACATCGGAGATGTCATTCTGCATGTGCATTCTCAAATTAAATGCAGCAATCCGTAACAGTGAATCTAATCATCAATGAGGCAAACGTTTGCTTGAAGAATGACCACACTGCTGTGATCTTATCAATATCACACCCTGAGCACATGTGAGTTATTCGTCTTTATTGTCAAGATATATCGGTATAATTTTTTCAAATGCTAATGTTTACATTTTAAGCCATTATCGGCCAATTCCGATTATCTTCCGATAATATTGTGCATCCCTAGTAGTTTTAGCATTGTAATTTTACTGCTACATTTGCCTTTAAGAGTAGATAAAGGCCTTTGGGAGGATTAAAAACTGCATTAAATTTTTTTCACAAAAGCATGACGCAAAAAGCACCAGCCTATTAAACTTTGCAGAATAAATTTACTATATAAATGAGTAGATTTTAAAACTGATTTCAGTCCAATTAAATGTATTACAGTAGGGTTGTAATGGTAAACAAACATGATGGTTCGGTAGGTACCTTGGTTTTGACGTCACGGTTCGGTATGGTTTCGGGGGAAAACTAAACCTTTCTTTTCAGTGGTTTACTGAACAAATTGCTCTTTCTTCAAAGGAGGCCTATTGTGTCCCTATTTACAATATGTGAAATAAGTCTCTGATGTCCCCAGAGTGTGCATGTGAAGTTTTAGCTCAAAATACCCCACAGATAACTTTTTATAGCTTGTTAAAATTGCCACTTTTAAGGTATGAGCCAAAACGCGCCGTTTTTGTGTTCGTCCCTTTAAATGCAAATGAGCTGGTGCTCCCGGCCCCCTTTTCTAAAGAATGGCGGAGCTTCAAGAGCTCAAGCTCCGGCATACAAATACACATTCCACTATTAGTACAAGCCTGTTATTTTTACAGAAAACGTACTCAGTTTAAAAGTCAGTCATCTGATTGTACTGTGCATAAATAAATGAGCGTTTATGAATTACACAGACGGGGAGCACGTCGCGAAAAAAAAAAACGGCATAGCTGTTCTTATGGTGCCTTCACGTGCTATCACAAACTTTATAACATCAAATTCTCCAAAACTGTTTGCCAAGCTTACAATTAAATGTCATATTTGAAATCATCAATGAAATCTGACAACAACTGTATCATAAATGTTGTTTATTTTGCTCAAATAGCGTTAAAAAAGCTTTATTTTTCCAGCTAGACCAGCTAGTGCGCATGCGCAGTCCTAGGCGCACGTCTCAGAACGCTGACTGTTTCTATAGCAACCGGGACTTATAACGGCAGCTGCAGTGATGCGCTGACTTTACCGATTAGGGATTGGCTCTTTTGCTTAGAAGACGGGGCTTCGTTCGATAGAGTGGCCATATTGAGCGTTTAGCATTTTCCCCATTCAAAACTATACGAGTGACACGCCTTGGGTATTCTGTAGCCTTTGGTAATGATCCATCGATATGGATCTATACATCGATACTTCTGATAGAATTTTTTGAGGTATTGGCAAATATCGTATCGTTGGGTATGAGAATCAATATCATATCGTATAGTGACAAACCCTAAGATTGACACCCCTATCTTGATCCACTTAAAGGGGTCTGAGTTTGTTTTTTTAAAAAGTGAACTCAAGTGTAAAAACACCCTCATAAGAACCAATGAGGTTTGTTCTCACGCGTCAAACAAGTACGGTTGAGCTTTGTGATGAGTGGGGCGGGGCAGAGAGCCGTGGGAACGGAGCGAGGCCGGTGGAGTGAATGATAATGAGCGACACCTGCGGCACAAACACTCCTCCTCAACGCATGTACTTACTATTAAACCACTACTAAACCATCTGATACAATAGGCTACTTACCCAATACTGAAAATGACTTCATGAATCTATAATGCGGATATACTGCAGTGACCTGTTAAGAACTGAAATAAACAATCATGATGTGGTCATATAAATGTTTTAATCACCGTGTACCAGAAAGCAAATATCAAATATGGAATCGGTGCATCCCTATTTTGTTATATTTATATGTGAATATTTAGAAAAACTTAGAATATTAAATGATATAGACTAATATTATAATATTTACAACAAACATGGTTTTGTACTATGATTATGTGGTTATGGTTCTTCTTTGTAATAAAGTATCTAATGCACTTTTATTTTAGTTACAGTAATTCTGTTGTGTGTTTGTCATTTTTATTATTTTGTCTTAAACGTGTCCTTATAGTATTAATTATTTATTTATTAGTTGTAGTTTATTTGGTATATCAGTTTTAGTACTTCTCGTTAAATGAAATGAAATGAAAAAAATGTTTTTTGGCAACTAGCAAAAAATTATTTTTATATTGATATTTTATTTTATTTTATTTCAGTTAAAGTTTATTTGAAGTAACAATGCATTTTGCAATACTTTTAGAAGTAAAAAATCTCACAATGTGAAACAGACAACAAATGCTGCGCTCAATATACTGTTATGGAAATATGTTAATTAATTAACAACTGAAATATGTGTTCCTAATGAATCTAGCTAATCTACACAGTCTATACTGTTATGATCTATAGATATTATATTAAATTATTATTAATATTAACAAATAAAAGTACTAGGCTTATTAATAATGCAATTTAAATCAATGTAAAAATGCTGTTAACAACCCATTTTACATCCACAATCTGATGCATTTCCAAGTAAAACATGTTCTCAATGAGCGAAAAATAGGGTGGGACTTTTATCCCTGAAGAACTGATTGGTCTCTAAATGATAAGTGGTTGAAAAATAAGAGCACAATTTACTACTTTTTTGGAAGAAAATTGCTTAAAAATCCAGTTTTTCTGCTCATCTTTCCCAGTCAAGGTCTGATGAGTTCTCCAGAGGGTGCTGTGTCTGATTTTGCTGCTTGAACTCGACTATGTAAAGCAGTTCCTTATCTGTCGGTCACTATGAGTTATGTCGTGACGACATTAGGGGGTTTACTTGGAAGCCCCAATCCTCTCTGACTTTAAGAGAAAACACCAATGAAATTTGGCAAGTGGGTTTTGCATGCCTTCAAGCTGTGGTCACGCCGCGACAGCTCTCGTCTCCGTAGACATTACTATTCATCCCAGTGTTGCCAAGTCCGCGGTTTTCCAGTGGAATTGGGCTACTTCATCACTATTGCCGCGGGTTGAAGCGACCCCAATAACGTGTATTTTAGCCCCGATTAACGTGATTTTTGCCGGGGGACCCACCTCGAAACGCGATTATTTTTGGCTAGTTTTTGGCTAGTTTTGAGTAGCAATTGGGTGGGTTTTGTTGTGAAAACCTGGCAACCCTTTCCATCAAGCAGGTAACGTTATTATTGCTAACATAGCGGACTCATCGAAAAATACATTGGCATCATCTGTATTAAAGAGAAAATCACTTCATCCGATGTTTAAGTGAATAAAATAGCCTTGACAGCCTTACTTATGGCGCTTTTCCACTGCATGGTACGGCACAGTACGGCTCGGTACGGTTCACTTTTGGGTGGTTTTCCACTGGGTACAATACCTGGTACCTGGTACTTTTTTTAGTACCACTTCGGTTGGGGTTCCAAGCGAACCGTACCGTTAACAAAACGTGACGTGTAAACTCTGCTGATCACGGATTGGCCGGAGAGAATCGTCACTACTTGCGTCACTGAACTTGCGACACAAACACAACAGAACCGCTAGATTTAAATCAGCACAGCCTGTGAAGGATCGAGCGCAACTGTTTTGAACAAACGCTCTTTTTTGTAACATCCAAAAAATTGCTTTTTTTATCAGACAATTGTTTACAGTTCTTGCACAAGGTACACTGGCACATTGTTTAAAATTAGCTTTTTATGTTGTAATTTAAACTTTATTTATGCCTTATGTATATACTTTCTGTATTTTATATTTTTAGAGTAGGTTTTCTCTTTATATTTTTACCTTTCTTTGTTTTGCTTCAATAAAAACTATGATTCTGTACTCAGCGCCGGTTGCAAGCTTCCACAGTGCGATGGCTACTCTTTTCTTTAGAGGTACACACACGCGGAAGTTTGTGTCCTGTCTCTCCATCGCTGGACGCAGTTTGTTGCATAAGTGGATAAATGTTTCTTCGGACATTCTAAAGTTCTCCAGCCACTGAGTGTCTGTAAAACCGGGAACAATCACATCCCACCACTCTGAAGCTCGGTTAAATGTCCAAACAGATGGTCTGTTGCGGCGACTTTTTTGCGAAATGTGGAAGCTCTGTAATACACAGAATACGCATTTTAATATGTTATACTGGCAGTTAAGTTCATTATTTGCTTCGCGACAGAGATCAAAGTTAGCTAGTGATGTGCTTTTAGATGCTTACCCTTGCGCGCCGTCGAGCAAACCAAGTGTTGTCGTCGTCTGCGTGTTGTTGTAAGAGTTCCCGAACTCTCTTGTATTTTTTAGCTGTGTTTCGTTTGGCTGCCATCAGCCTCTTTTGAAACAAACTCCTTCGTCTTGCAGTTAAAAACATCCACATGCCGAGAATGAAGAACACCATTCCATCGATATGCTCCATTGTTGTGTGTTTGTTTGTGGCGCGTTTACGATGATGTCACGGCAGTAGAGGCGGCGCAACTATAACGACATGTGAATAATCCCACCCACTCTAAAGCGGTACTGAACTGCAGTGGAAACGCAAACCGAGCCGAGCCGTGCCATGCCGTACTGAACCGTACCGAGCCGTACCGTGCCGTACCATGCAGTGGAAAAGCGCCATTACTCGAGTTCCACAACTATTGACTTTGGTCTCTCTCACCGGACTTGTGTGTGTGTAGGTGATGTAAAAGAAGAAAGCAGGCATTTGGACCAAAGCACTGTGAGGCAAGGGAGGGGGAGACTCAAAATGTTTCTAAACTTAAAACGCATTTTTGCCCCGTTTGTGTTGTTTTACTCCTCACACAATTATTTAAAGTATAAAATATTGTTATTTACAATACACAGCGTGGTTTTTAATCATAATTTTAGGGGGGACAACCCTCAGATAGGGGGGTCCTGTCCCCCCTGACCCCCCCGGGATTTCCACCTACGCACACGGGTATAATTAGGCGACAGGTGCATCCACTCATTCAGATTTTTGCTTCGGAGCCGAGTGGATGATAGTGCTTGATCTCCACAAAGCCTTTTACTCATCTGACTGGAAGCTGTTCCTGGTTGGCGTTACGGTGCAAACAGCACTGTCCCTGCCATTAGCGATTCCCCTTGGCATTTCAACTGAAAGAGCAGTTTCTCTAAAAGAGCAAATCACGGTCAGTTTGCATCTTTTTAAAGATGCCGTTCCGTCCGTATCCTCTTGGTTGAGGTCTTTACCTGTCCTCTGTCGACGGACACGATCATTGTCTTCAGTGTCTGGGCATCCAACACGCTGAAGCTGCAATCATGAATGACTCATTCGTCTATTGTGGGAGTGTGAGCATAGCGTCGCTGCCATCTCGCCTCTCCCTCCTCAAGGGGAACGGAGCGGCACCCTCTGTCTCTACCCATCCTGGTTTCCCTGTCACGAGCAGGGGACCACCGTCAAGAGCTCTGGAAGATCTGAGGGTCAAAGTGAGAGCTTCTCCGCCCTGTCCCGAGCCCTTGCGGCTAGAGGATTGGTTTTTCGGGGTGGGGCGCGGCTCACAGCCACGTCCTGCACCGGTGCCTTTCTTCCCGGAGGTGCATGAGGAGCTGGCAAATTCATGGACGGCCCCTTTTTCAGCCAGAAGCCGCTCGTCTGCCTCTTCCGTCCACACTACCCTCGATGGTGGGGCGGCTAGGGGGTACGTTGACATTCCCCAGGTGGAGAGAGCGGTTGCGGTGCATCTGTGCCTGCAAAATGCCGCCACTTGGAGGAATTGTCCACGTTTCCCGTCCCAATCCTGTAAGCTGACGGTGGCTTTCACCGCCAAAGCTTACAGTGCTGTGGGCCAAGCCACCTCTACCATGCATGCCATGGCTATCCTGCAGGTCCACCAAGCCAAGGCACTAAAACAAATGCACGAGGGTAGTACCGACCCAGGGTTGATGCAGGAACTGCGCTCAGCGACTAACTTCGCCCTCAGGGTCGATTAAAGTCACGGCACGGTCCCTCGGGAAGGCGATGTCCACATTAGTGGCCCAAGAGCGCCATTTCTGGCTCAACCTTGCTGAGATTGAGACAAAATTAATTTTCTTGACACTCCCATCTCACAGGTTGGCCTGTTCGGCAACACTGTCGAGGACTTTGCCTAGCAGTTCTCGGCAGTACAGAAACAGACCGAGGCGATCCAGCACATCACCGTTCCGTCGCGGGCCCAACTCAGTCTGCTCCTCACCGTGGGTGCCCCCCTGCGTCCTCCAGAGCACCTCCACCCCGTGCTGAGACAGCATCAAAGCTGGCGCGTCGAGCCTCTCGCAGGATCATGGCCCAGTCACAAGAGCAGTTGTGCGATCACAGGGATCTGGTGCTCTGGCACCTCAGCCAGTTGGGGCTTCGGGTCAACTGGGAAAAGAGCAAACTCTCCCCCATGCCGAAAATATATTTTCTCGGTATGGAGTTAGACTTGGTGGGTATGACTGCGCTTCTACCCAATGAGCATGCCCAGTCAGTGCTGAACTGCCTGAGTTCATTCAGAGGCAGGAACATGGTATCTCTGAAACACTTTCAGAGGCTCCTGTGGCATATGGCACCTGCAGCCGCAATCCCGCGGCTCAAATTGCTTCATATGAGACCACTTCAGCACTGGTTACACTCCCGAGTCCCAAGGTGGGCATGGCGTCGCGGTACACTCTGCGAGACCATCACACCGACGTGTCGTCACTCATTCAGCCCCTGGATAGACCTTGCCTTTCTATGGTCCGGGGTGCCATTAGAACAAGTGTCCCAGCATGTAGTTGTCACGACGGATGCCTCCAGTACGGGCTGGGGCGCTACATGCAATGGGCAGGCAGCCTCGGGACTCTGGACGGGGCCTCGACTCCGGGGCACCCAGAGCTTCAGGAGCTCTGAGCAGCTCTTTGTCTGTTACGGAGGTCAGTAGAAAGGGAAGGCTGTCTCCAAGCAGAGGTTGGCCCACTGGATAGTGGATGCCATCACCCTGACATACCAATCCCAAGGCGAGCCGTGCCCCCTGAGGGTGAGGGCTCACTCCACACAGAGTGTTGCTTCCTCCTATGCGCTGGCACACGGCGCCTCTCTGGCAGACATCTGTAGAGCTGCGGGCTGGGCGACACGAACACCTTCGCGAGATTTTATAGTCACCGCATTCAGACGGTATATTCCCGTGTGTTGAGTAACAGGTTAGTGGTGGGAAGAGCTGGCCGGTGTCACACTTGCTGCACCATTCCCCCTCACCCGGGGATGAGAGCACCTTTTTCCTCCTCCAGTAGAGTTCCCCAGACGGCGAACCTTGGTTGATTATTCTCCAGCACCCCCGGCAGTCAGACTGGGCGGAGAAGTCTGACGTCAGGCCCAGTATCAATGTTAGCTTTCCCGGGTCTCCGGTCAGCCCCTTTACTGGGCTAGGTGTCCATATGGCTTGATTCCCTGCGGGTGATCCCATATGTGTATTCTTCCATGGTAAGGTTCCCCTCTCAGTGAACCCGTGTCTTCCCTTTGGCAGACCATTCTATCAGTCTCTGCTGGCAGTCATTCCTCCCTACTCCTAGGCAGGACCTGCCTCAGAGACCCATTCCATATGTAGTTCTGCCCCAGGCCTGGGTCAGTCCATATCAGTGTCTCCACATGATACCTCCCGACGGGCAGGATGTGGTCTCCGTATTGCCCTTCTCTGGAAGGCTCGCTTCCCCGTCGTTACTGCCAAGCTGTAACAACAAATAGGAAAGGTGTGAAGCATCTTTCATGAAGGTTCAAATCCCTTCTCTTAAGAAAATATTTTCTGGGGTAGGAACAGTGGCATGGC